AGGCTGGAGGTCACGTTAAAAAAAAGAAAACAAAGTAGTAACAATAGTAGTAGTAGTATTTTATGTGTGGATGTGAGGTTAGTGAGGTTTTGGGGGTTCATGGGGCATGGCTGGGGAGGGGGGGGAGGGTGAAGGGGTCAACACCATCACAGGCTAAATCAAGTGTGAGCCTTGAGGTTGTGACGTTGATTTTATTGAGTCTAAAATGCAACACAGTTTTATGTATCGATTTCTGTATTGGCATAACAGACGAGACACGAACGACATTTTTATGCCTCAATAAAACGTTCTTCCCCTCCTCCTACATCTTCTCCCAGAAATTGGAACATCGACTGAAATCTTTATACTGGAAGATAACTTTTATAGCTCTCAGTGTCTGGCATTACAAAGAGCTTTAAAGAAGGAGGAGCTATTAAAATGTCCCCCCCTTTTATCAAAAACTTTTTAGTACCAAATGAAAAGTTTCTATTTTATCAAATGTTTTCTCGGAATTTAGTATTTAAAACAGCATTAAAAAGCAGGACTATAAAAAACGGCCTGGGAAGATATTGGGAGCATAATGTGTTGTCCCATGGTAGACCCTGCTGCCATATGGCATAACGAAAATTGTGACCAAGTCCCAGGTTGCTGATCTGACATTCTGCCTCATTTGCACACAATTGCAGGGTCTCAATTGTTTCTCTTACTATTGACAACACAACATACATATGTATATCGTTTCGCACTATTGATCGTTTTTTTTATTTTTGTAATTATTTATGGCTCATTGTTATTACCAGGCCTTGTTCTGAGTCATAAAATTACCTTGGCCCGGGTGGGCTCATGCCCGTAAAAAAAAATATTATAATATAAAAGTTCTTCAGCATCAATATTGTGCAGTACCTAATAAATGAGTCAGTTTTTAAATCGACTGGCTCTCTTTATGAGGTGATGAGCAGTGACTGATATAAAAGGGTAATTTTATCATATCTGTTTATTTACTGTAGTTTCATCGACCCGTGTAATATATATCTTCCGGTATAGGAGTGGTGGTGAGGGTGTGTGAGTGGTGGTGATGGTGTCAGAGTAGTGGTGATGGTGTCAGACGTGTGGTGATGATGTCAGAGTAGTGTTGATGGTGTCAGACGTGTGGTGATGATGTCAGAAGAGTTGTGATGGTGTCAGACGTGTGGTGATGATGTCAGAAGAGTTGTGATGGTGTCAGACGTGTGGTGATGATGTCAGAGTAGGTGATGGTGTCAGACGTGTGGTGATGATGTCAGAGGTGTTTCAATGGTGATAGTGGTGATGTCAGAAGAGTGATGGTGTAAGTGGTGATGATGTCAGAGTAATGGTGATGGTGTCAACTGGTGAGATGTCAGAATGTGATAGTGTCGAGTGGTGATGATGTGTCAGAAAGTGGTGATAGTCAGAGTGGTGATGATGTCAGAAGAGTTGTGATGGTGTCAGACGTGGTGATGATGTCAGAAAGATGTTAGACTGTGGTGATGATGTCAGAAAGTTGTGATAGTGGCCAGAGGTGATGATGTCAGAAAGTATAGTCACGTGGTGATGATGTGAAAGTGGTGGTGAGGCTGGAAGAGTGGTGGTGGTGATGATGTCAGTGTGCTGTTGGGCAAAATGGTGATAGTGATGTCAAAATGGTAGTGGTGGTATAAAAATGGTGGTAGTGATGTCAGAAAGGTGATGGTTACGACAGAATGGTAATAGTGGTATCGGAAATGGTGGTAGTGGTGTCAAAATGGTGATAGTGGTGTCAGATTGATGGTATGGCGTCAGACTGGTGGTAGTGGTGTCATAATGGTGATAGTGGTGTCAAAGTGGTAGTAGCGTCAAAATGGTGGTAGTGGCGTCAAAATGGTGATAGTGGTGTCAGATTGATGGTATGGCGTCAGAATGGTGGTAGTGGTGTCATAATGGTGATAGTGGTGTCAAAATGGTGGTAGTAGCGTCAAAATGGTGGTAGTGGCGTCAAAATGGTGATAGTGGTGTCAGATTGATGGTATGGCGTCAGAATGGTGGTAGTGGTGTCATAATGGTGATAGTGGTGTCAAAATGGTGGTAGTAGCGTCAAAGTGGTGGTAGGCAATGAAAGGTGATGGTTGCGACAGAATGGTAATAATGGTATCGGAAATGGTGGCAGTGGTGTCAAATTGGTGATAGTGGTGTCATATAAGCGACCTCTGTGTTCTATGGTCAATATAACCATTACTCAATAAATGTTCCCATTTATTACCACACACATATTTCAATAATATTCCATAGATACTGTGTCACTGGTATACGTCATTAATATTCATTGGTTTATTCATTGGTTTATTCATTGGTTTATTCATTGGTTTATTCATCGGTTTATTCATTGGTTTATTCATTGGTTTATTCATCGGTTTATTCATTGGTTTATTCATTGGTTTATTCATTGGTTTATTCATTGGTTTATTCATTGGTTTATTCATTGGTTTATTCATTGGTTTATTCATCGGTTTATTCATTGGTTTATTCATCGGTTTATTCTATTGGTTTATTCATTGGTTTATTCATCGGTTTATTCATTGGTTTATTCATTGGTTTATTCATTGGTTTATTCATTGGTTTATTCATTGGTTTATTCATTGGTTTATTCATCGGTTTATTCATCGGTTTATTCATTGGTTTATTCATTGGTTTATTCATCGGTTTATTCATTGGTTTATTCATTATTGGTTTATTCATTGGTTTATTCATTGGTTTATTCATTGGTTTATTCATTGGTTTATTCATTGGTTTATTCATTGGTTTATTCATTGGTTTATTCATTGGTTTATTCATCGGTTTATTCATTGGTTTATTCATTGGTTTATTCATTGGTTTATTCATTGTTTATTCATCGGTTATTCTATTGGATTAATCGGTTTATTCATTGGTTTATTCATTGGTTTATTCATACTGCAGGAACTGTACTTGGTTGGCGTTAGCAGAGGATTTGTGTTGGTGAATCTCTCTCTCTCTCTCTACCAGGTAATCAACTCATCTTAGGAAGGGTTGTCTCTCGCTACCTGCTCTCCCACTTGAAGAACTTCCCAAGGAGAAAGTTGGTTCTCCTCCTCTTCCTCCTCCTCATCTTCATCCTCCTCATCATCTTCTTCCTCCTCATCATCTTCTTCCTCCTCATCTTCTTCCTCCTCATCATCTTCTTCCTCCTCATCATCTTCCCTCTTCTTTCTTCTGCTTCTTCTTGTTTCCCTTCCCTCTCTATTTATCAATGCCCAGCCCTCTCTCTCCTTTCCCCCAGTCATATGCCCATTAAAACCAAATTGTCCTCCTCTTTCCCCTTCTTCCTCCTCCTCCGTCTTGCCTCTCTTTTCCTCCTCCTCCTCCTCCTCCTCCTCCTCCTCCTCCTCCCAGGTCTTCCTTCTGTTAACCATATTCCCAATCTTCTCTCCTCTTCCTCCTCTTTGTCTGTTAAACTCGTAGGCTAACCTGATGCACTGAGTCTGTCTATTAACCGAGGTGGTCACACTAATTAACAGGTACAAAGTCAACTCCTTTGTTTCCCTCTGTTTACCTGTTTCCCTCTGTTTACCTGTTTCCCTCTGTTTACCTGTTTCCCTCTGTTTACCTGTTTCCCTTGAAGCTGTGTTGCTCTGACTCACTGACATGACCAAGTACAGCATTTTTTTTTCGGGTGAGAGGTGTGTGTGTGGGGGGGGGGTCACTATAATGCTGTTGGTTTAATGGTTTAATATTCTCACTTCAAAGGCCTGGTTTTTATTCTGGTGTTATCAATCCATCTCATTTGACCTTACAACATATTGCCATTCCCTGTAACATCACCCTTGTTTATCCCTTTTAACAAATGTAAAGGCGGAAACGATCTTCCTGCTGGTTACCGCTGCTAACTCGCTCGTTTGCTGGTGCAGACGACACTTTGGTTTGGACAGAGGTGAGAACGGCAGCGACTATCTGCGTCACCGGCAGATTCAACCCAGCCGCCATACAGTCACTATCTAGCTACCCCGCTGTCCGTCAAATTCTGGCTGTGATCTCATCATAGGTCCTGGACTCATGGGCTGTGTTCCAGACCTTCACCTATCAACTGCCAACTCTCTGGTCATCTACCACTACCGCATACCACGACTGCCAGTTCATCTCATTCCATCTGTGCCCTGTGTTCTGCCATTTCAAGACGTCGCTCGAGTGTGGAGTTGAGGACGCTTCCCTACCCTGAGTGGATCACCGTGTTCCAGAACTTTCCCCAGGGCCACTGCCGTAGGAAATATTTGTTCATTGTTTGATTCTATCAGTTGCTGACTCCCATAATTGTTTGCCTTTAATTGTTTGCTTCCATTAATTGTTTGACTCCATTAACTGTTGACTGCCTTAATTGTTACTTGATGTTTGTTGGAGGGAAAACCTTGACTTTCCTTTATTAAGATCCTGATTAGTCTGGTATGATTTTATATCTCCAAAGTCCCAGGCCTTTACACCAAACGCTGGGAATTTTAATGGTTTTTCTACGATGGCAAAGACACGGGAGGTGGTGGAGGTATGAAAGATGTTTTAACCGAGAGACATAAACACTGAGACATAAACACTTAAACATAAACACTGAGACAAATACTGAAGCCAAAAAACTATCTTTCGTAGCTCGTTCCTTCAGATCAATACAGCATGGACAGTACTATATGATCTAGAGATAAGGAGATTCTGGGATTTATAGGAGATTAATGAACTATAGAGGATTTTTTCAAGGGCTAGGATTTCCATGGATTACTCTATAGCAGTGTTCCCCAACCTTCTCAACACTGGGTCACAGTTCCCGGCACCTCCAAGATTATTTGGTCACATTTCAAGTTTGTCTTCTGAGAAATGACACAACTATTATGGGTATACAAGTATATTACAGTCACAGTCAACATAGCGAATGAAGCACATCAACTGAACCTGTTTGTATGATCCGTGGATTCGTCAAATTGCAATCCATAGTAGGGACTTTTCTTGACCTTTTCTGCTGGCTGTACAAGCAGGTCTTCAGCAATCACCAGCGTCCGTTGTTCAGTTGTTGTGGCTGAAAGGGGGACCTCATTCAGCTTCGTAGCAGCACTTTCATGAAGCACTTCTTCCGAAAGGATGTTCATTACTGGTACGATTATTTCTTCACCTTCTGTGAAAGGTTTCTTTTTGGTAGCGAGCAGGTTCTCTACTTTCAAAGATGCAGTGACGAGATTGGTATCTGATGTGGCCTTGCAGTGCTCTTCAAACCTTCACGAAGACTGACCCTTCTTGTGGAGCAGTTATCATTATACAATAAGTCTGCAGCTTACCCCGAAGATTAGAATTTCTCTCCAGGTGACGGCGAAGCTTGCTTGGCACCTGGCATTGTTTTGACATCATTTGGGGGCATAGCAGACACGATGCTGTTGGATGCTCCTCTTTTTCCTCGTCAGTCAGATGAAATCCATACTTGACGTAAGCTACACTCCATTTCTTCTTCGCTGCTGTAAATTTCGTTTTTTTCTATGACGAGTCTGCAGTGCTGCCACTCGCATGTAACGTGCTCAGTGGGTCACAGCTGCTCCTGGGTCACAGCGCGTGGTCGCAGAAGTTCGCCGGGTCACACTAGTAAGTGGCTTGGATCACAGGGTTGGGGAACACCGCTCTATAGGATCAGATTCGCTTATAAAGGTTACTGGTGATGTGTTTCTTCTTCTTTCTCTTGAAGATTATTATCACTCTGATTTATGAGTATTGAAGTGAGGTTTTGGGTGGGTTTTTTCCCGTGTCTCTATTTTTCTCTCTTTCTATCTGTCTATCTATCTATCTATTCATTCTATTCATTATTATTGTTTTCTCTTTTCTCATAACCAGGACGAGGATGCTGACACAGGAAGACTACCACAACAAAGACATTCACACACACACACACACACACACACACACACACACACACGTTCAGACGACATTGAATACATGACTGAAATTTGTATCTAAATGTATACACAATCAACTATATTCTGTAATTCACGTAACAAGTTCATTATACTTACTAACATGAGCTGTAATAATGAAGATAATATTATTGTCTATTGAATGAGTATTTTTGGGGTTAGGTTAGGTTAGGTTAGGTTAGGTTAGGTTAGGTTAGGTTAGGTTAGGTTAGGTTAGGTTAGGGTTATTATTACGACAAGTGATATTATTACTTCTGTATTGTCACGTTGTTGTGGTTACTGAATGAATGGTGATTGGTGGTGGTAGGGTGGTGGCAGGGGTGTTGATGATGTCAGTGAGGTGGTAATGGTGTCAGAGAGGTGTTGATGGTGTCAGTGAGGTGGTAATGGTGTCAGAGAGGTGTTGATGGTGTCAGTGAGGTGGTAATGGTGTTCAGTGAGGTGGTAATGGTGTCAGAGAGGTGGTAATGGTGTCAGAGGAGGTGGTAATGGTGTCAGAGAGGGTATGGTGTCAGAGAGGTGGTAATGGTGTCAGGGAGGTAATAGGTGGTAATGGTGTCAGAGGTGGTAATGGTGTCAGAGAGGGTAATGGTGTCAGAGAGGTGGTAATGGTGTCAGAGAGGTGGTAATGGTGTCAGTGAGGTGGTAATGGTGTCAGTGAGGTGGTAATGTGTCAGATAGGTGGAATGGTGTCAGAGAGGTGGTAATGGTGTCAGAGGTAATGGTGTCAGATAGGTGGTAATGGTGTCAGAGAGGTGGTAATGGTGTCAGAGAGGTGGTAATGGTGTCAGAGAGGTGGTAATGGTGTCAGTGAGGTGGTAATGGTGTCAGTGAGGTGGTAATGGTGTCAGAGAGGTGGTAATGGTGTCAGGGAGTTTTGCAAGGAATTATAACTAAACCATTTCAAGCTAAAAAAGCGCCCTAGACACACACACAGGTACAGAAATCAATTAAATTTTGAGTTATAAATAAAATTAAAAGTTAAATAAAGGAACTTCAGACATTTACCTTCTTGATTGCTCAGTTTACCAACAATAGACACAATATAGTTTTTTTTAAACATTTAGTGAACGAATCCAAATCCATGGGTCACTTTAACCTAACTCTAACCAAACCTAACCTAACCCAACCTAACCTAAAACCTAAACCAACCAAACCTAACCTAACCTAACCTAACCTAACCAAACCTAACCTAACCTAACCTAATCAACCTAACTCACCCCACCTCAGATAAAAAAATAACCGGGCTATTAAGAGACACGTTAAATCCTCCTGAGATTACCACAGAGACTAATCACTACGTCGGGATTTAGTTATAGAAAAAATATGAACGAGCAACCTGCAGGATTTACATGCGGATTTCTCTGGATTTACACTGTCATACACCGTTCTGCTCGACTTACACGCACACACACACACACACACACACACACACACACACACACACACACACACACACACACACACACACACACACACACTCTCTCTCAACGAAACGAAACAGGCTACAGAATCCAACTGAATCCACCCACCGCTCAGATGACTATAAAAACAAAACAAACGACAAACCGGATAGATATATGAACGCCTGGGCCGGACTAAGACGGGAAAACCCTGTACCTGAACTTGTGATAAATGTTATTACCAGTTTAACATAGCGGTGTGTGTGTGTGTGTGTGTGTGGTCGTTACTGGAGTGCAAGTATTGACATTGATTGATCGCATTATGGCAACGTCTTTAGTCTGTCTCTCTGTTTCATCACCAATTTGTCTGTCTGCTTCTCTCTCTCTCCTCCTCTCTCTCTCTGATTCTCTTTCCTCCCAGTCTTGTCTCCTGTTTGGATCCCTCACCCCCCCCCCACCTCTCCTCTCATCCTCACCCCTTTAAACCAATTATAGTCCTCATTATAGTGCGTGTTTGAGTGTCTGTCTCATAAAATACATATTCCCCCCTCCTGTGTGTGTGTGTGTGTGTGTGTGTGTGTGTGTGTGTGTGTGTGTGTGTGTGTGTGTGTGTGTGTGTTAACTCAAATTCTCAATATTCCTTGTCCGGTTGATTTACGTTAATTAAATACCTTTCAAGATTACAACACCTAATTAGTATTGTTGTCTACCTGTACGTCGTATACCTGTACTGATGTTTCTCATTAATTACTTTGGTATGTGATTATGATTGAGAGATTTTATACTGTTGAATAGTTAGTTGTTACTTAATCGTATAAGAATTGAGAGTTTATGGAGAAATATACAACGGTAATTAATATACCTGTAATTATACCTGTACAAAGGTTTTTTTTTTAATTTGTGTTTTAAGTCTGGGATAAAGTCTATGTTTACACACCTGAACTTTTGTCCCCAACACAGTGTCAACATTACCCGCCACGATAAGACTCGACTCAGACGAGGAACTCGAGAAAAAAGCCCCAGACAATGGCGGAGATGAGCAAGAAAATGGTCCAAGATCATAATTTTGTCCTCACTACAGACATAAAGATCTAAAATTACCATAATGGGTGACACACGTTGCCAGTAAGCAGATTACGACCCTATATTGTTCTGTCTTAAGTACGGTTATCCTTTACAGATTTGGGGATTCGGGGAATAGGTATTAAACAGGCTAATTTCACCTTTGTGTCTTTGTTTATAGGTGTTATTATCCTAGCTCGACTCCTCTGGTCAAAAAAAAAAAAAGTATGGAGACGTAGTCAGATTTCACCATTATTGTCACTATACATAAGAGGGAATATCATAACTCAATAGCGACGTACTCTAACAAATGAACAACAAGCGAATGTCGCCTCACTGTTTCCCACCACAAGAGTGATTATCCATGTTCTGCTTTGTCATCCAAGAAATATAGAAAAATAAAAATTCACCTCTCTGTTTTACTACCACAAGGGTGATTAGTCTTCTGTATGTAAGAGTATAAAACTTATTCGCCCTTCTGTCCACTGTAAGTAAGGGTAATTATCCAATTTACACGTTACCTTCCACAATAAAACTCCCATCACACAATTTTCACCTCTCTGTAACCTATCGCAAGAGTGCTAGTCCTTCGATAATTTTTTTTTCAAATAATAAGGAACTGTAATCCATTTTGAACTCTCTCACGCTTACTATAGAGGTGAATATCCTTCCCACGGGATTATATCCACTAAATAATGAGCAGCAAGTAATTTTCATCTTTAAGTTGCACTACACAAAGCACATTATCATTCTGAGGGTCATCGTCTGTGATAATTGCTGAATGGTGTAAAAACAGGCTCAAGCGTCACCATCAAGGACGATGATTTACGCCACTGGTGTGTGTGTGTGTGTGTGTGTGTGTGTGTGTGTGTGTGTGTGTGTGTGTACGAGTGTGTGTGTGTGTGTGTGTGTGTGTGTGTACGTGTGTGTGTGTGTGTGTGTGTGTGTGTGTGTGTGTAATTCCTCTCACCTTCCTGAGTAACAACACTGATAGATAGATAGATCTTACAAACAAACATCTTCACTATAAGTAGTTAAACAGGTACACACACACACACACTGTACACACACACACACTCGTACACACACACACACACACACACACACACACCTGTACACACACACACACACACACACACACACACACACACACACACACACACACACACACACACACACACACACACACACACACACACACCTGCACACACACACACACACACACACACACACACACACACACACACACACACCACACACACACACACACCCTCGTGCCAACTTATGCAGGGGAGATGTGAAACGTGTCCCAGGAGGCAGGAGGGTGAGGTCGGCTCCCACCAGTTATTTATCCTTCTGTCCCTCTTCCCCTTCCTCTTCCCCTTCTCTCTTCTCTGTTTACCCATATTTTTCACTTACTCTCTACCCTTCACCTCCTTCTCTCATTTTTTCCACTCTCCTTCCTCCTTCTCCCCTCCTTCTTCCCCTCCCCTCCCCTTCTCCCCTTCCATTCTTCTCATCTCCTTATTCTCCTATCTTCCCCTGTCTTCCACTTCCCCTTCCCTTCACCATCTTCTCCCCCTTCCTTCCTTCCCTTACCTTCTCCCCCTCTTTTCCTCCCTCTCCCCCTCCCCCTCCCACTCTACCTTCCTTTTTCCCCCTTTCTTTCTTTCCCCCTTTCCTCCTCTCTATTTCCTTTCTCTTCTACTTCTTCTCCTCCCTTCACTTCCCCTCTCATCTTCTTTTTCCTCCTCTCCTCTCCTCCCCTTATTCTCTTTTCCCCTCCCATCTCCCCCTCCCTCCCTCCCCCCCCCCTTCCTCCCCTCCCCTCACATGCTGACACAACTTT